GATCAATATTATAAGTTTGTAACAGTTATTATAAGTAAGAATAACTTATAGAAATAACTTATACAGAGAGTAATTATCATAAGATGAAATAAGTACTTAAGAAGTTTGTACTCTTAAACTGCTAATAATTGTGCAAACATAATTATTTATAAAAAAAATTCTTTCAATTCATATATTAAAGTTTTTATTCTGTTTATAAACAATTAATTACGATGGATAGAAAAAAAGAAAGAATTATTATAATTTTACAATAAAAGTTAAAAAAAAAAGGAAAATTTAATATGAAAAGTAAATATTTCAAAGAAGAAAAAAGAGATATTTACATTCAAACAATTAATTTATTTCTTTTATTTATTTATTTTTCTTTTTTTTTGAAAAATTAATTATTTTATTTGGTATTTGGCTTTTTTTTTTTTTTGTTAGCTACAAAGTATTACTTAAAATTGTTACAAAGTATTACTTATAATAGAAGCAATAAATTGTGATCATTCGGTAGTTTCAATTTTAAAAAGAGCCCGAATATTGTCGCCAAAAATTCATAGAAAAGCAGTAAAAAAAAAAAAAAAAAAAGATCGTTATATTTGCAATTTAACAAATTGAAATTTTAATTGTAAACAACAAAAAGAAAAATGAATAAATAATAAGAATATAATGTGAAAAGAAAAAGAAAAGAATTAATAAAAGTTTAATGTGATTATTTGTCACATTGATACTTGTCATTTCGTTTTATTTTTTTTATTGATTACGGAAATGTTGTCTCATATCAGTAAATCTATTTATTTACTCTTTTTTTTTTTTTTTTTTTAACAAAATTAATGATGAAAATGATAAAAAAAAAAAACAACCATTACGATGACAATAGCGACGACAATGGTGACAATGGTGACAAGAAAATAAGAATTAAAAAAAAGCTAAAGATTGAAATGTTACTATGGTGATAGCACAACTAACATTTGTTTCTAATGATGGCAATAATTTATGTCATTTCTTTTTATTACGCTAACAAATTAATTAAATTATCTTTAACTATCATTCATTTTGCAAATTTTATTTCAAAAAAAAAAAGATTTATTGTTAACAATTTTAATCAATGTTTGATAAAATTTTAATATTTTTTTTTTGTTAATTAACGTCTCATAAAGAAATTTTAGTAATTCTTTTAGCAAAGAAAAAAAAAGAAATTCAGAGTAAATTAGAAATATAAATTAAAGCAAATGTATTTAATAATTTATATTCATTTTTAAATTGTTTTTTCTTTCTGCTAAATTTTACCTTTGAAGGAGTAATTTTGAAGGTTATAAATTAATTGAAATAATTTCTCTCTTACATTTCCTTCCTTCCTTCCTTCTTATTGTAAATTCATTCATTTATTTATCTTTTTTTGATTGAAATTGAAAAATCTTTTAGTAAATAAATTAAAAATTTTTAATCGTTAATTTTTGTATGAGAAATAATCAGCAAAAATAATCTTCAAAAAGTTGAAATTGAATATCTACGATTTAATTTATGAAAGTAGATTGGAACTTATTGCTTAATTTATGGCATACATAAAACTTTTTTCCTTATCAATTAGTCGTTTCTGTCTTATCACTTCACCTAGCATCAATGCATTATTTTAATTCCGATATATCAGTATTCAAATACCGATATATTATTATTTGTTTTTAATAACAATGTATAAATGCACTATATACCCATGTCCAAATATCGTAAATAATAATTATCAAATCAAATAATCAAATATCAATGTCACAAAATGCGATCAGTTTAAATCTTAATTTTTCGGGTTTGATCAAACGCAATTTGACTAATTTAAAAAAAAAAAAAATCGTAAAATCGGAATTTGACTAACTTAAAAATTTAAAAAACAAATTTCAAAAAATTCTAAAGTAATAATATGCTAATACTAAAATTTAGTAATATTAATTGTAACAAATAACAATTTATTATTGCTACCTGTACCTTTAATTAGTAATTTAAATTTTTACTACATTTACAATGAAAAATATTGAAATACAATAAAGGACTATGAAATTCTTTTATATGACATGCAACTAGTTAGCAAATAAGAAGCATTATTGATCAAATAAAAAATAACATTTAAACATGTTTTTTTTTTTTTTTTTAATCTAAAAATTGAGTCCAAAAAAAAAAAACTTTAAAAATAAAAATTAAAATTACAATTTAAAAAAGGAAAAAAAAAATGTTACATTAAAAGGAGAAAAGAATTTTATGTAAGTGAAAAATTAGAAATAAAATGATAAGCTTTTGCTTAGAATGTAAGCAAGCAAAGCATTCTGTTCTCTAAGGGCAAAAAAGAATTTATAGCCTAGGAATTGATGAAGCAAAGCGTTGGCTAAAATCGAAGAGGCGTGGGCTGCACAAATGGAATGCGACAAATCATTGTCACCGAATGAGCCTAGCTGACTTAATATTCGAAATTGAGTAGTCTCTCCATCCTTTTCATTTCATACAAATGTATTTATGTATACGTGCCTATATGTATCTGTATGCATGTGTATGCGTGTATGTGTATGTATGTGGGCAATTTGAGTATGTACACACATGTGCATGTAAGCATATGTGTGTGTGTGTGTGTGTGTGTGTATACAAATTTATGTATACGCATTATATGTGCATGTCTGTGTATTAATGTGTGTGTGTGCTATGTAAGCATTATGTGTATTGTGTATGTGATTGTGTATATTTATGCATATATATACTTATATCTATGTGTATGTTTGTATGTTGGCATGTGAGTATGTGTATGATCTACGTAAGCACATGTGCATTGTGTATGTGTATGTATGTGTACAAGTATATTTATGTATATATATGTATGTCTGTATGTTTGCATGTGAACCATGTATATATGATGTAAGCATGTATGTGAGTATGTGTGTGCATGTCTGCGTATGTCTATGTATGTGTGTGTGTGTGTTTAAGAAAATTAGTTTAAATCACAGACAAAAAATTTGCAACAAATTGAAAATGAAGAAAGAATTTCTATTGAAAATTTCAAAAAAGAAGAAAATATTTCATTGTTTATCCCACAAAATAAACTCAACAAAGTCTAACATTTTGAAAAAAAAAAAAAAAAAAAAAAAAAACTTTGTTGCATAATTTTAATAAAAATGAAAATTGCAAGTTTAACTTTTTTTTTTTTAAAAAAAATTTATAATTTAATATTTTCATTTTTTCATCAATTGCTAATAGTTTGAGTTAAAAAAAAAAAAAAAAAAAAAACGCAATTTTCAACAGTTACTATATTATTTATCAATTTTAATGATAAATTTAATAAATATTAACAAAATATTTTTTATAAATTTTAATTTTGTAAAATTTATACGGAAAACTTTTCGTAAATTAAACAAATTGAATGCATCAAATAAAATTTGATTCCTTTTTTCTAACATTTAATATTAACTAAAAAATGTTTATTTCAAAAAAGAAAAAGAAACCAAACATGACAATTTTTTAAAATTAATTACTTCATTTCAAAATTTTTAAAATAACAAACAATAGGAATCGTTTAAAATTATAAAAAAACTTTTCAAATAATTTGATTAAAACAAAAAAGATTGAACTAGAAATAAAAGAAAACAAAAAGTTATTAAAAGTATAGTAAATTTCATATTGGAAAAAAGCAATACGGTCAATTGTTTGATCTAAAATATTATATATTTTTCTATCTTTTAAATGATCAGTTTTTGTCATTCGATGTAAAATTTATTTTTCTTAAAAAAAAATTTAAAGCAATTTTTAAAAAAAATTTTTTTTTTTTTTGAATGATCGATAATTTCAATAAAAAAATAAATAGAACACTTGTCACAATTCAATTATATTTCAATTTTATTGATATGTAGATATTTTTTTTACAAGAAAAAAACTTTTTTAATGCAAATATTTGTACAGAAAGAGAGGGACAAAGAGCGAGAGAGAGAGAGAGAGGGAGAGAGAAAGAAAGAAGAATAAAAAAACATTTAAAAATAAATTTATGAAAAATGACAAAGAGAACTTTAATTCATTTTTTCAATTTTAGTTTAATTTTTCCCTAAGTTATTTGATAAAAAAAAGATAATTGTTAACTTTTTTTTTTTTAATTTTCTGTTATTACTAGGGGAAATGGTAACCTAAATTGAAGAAATTGGTGTTAAAAAGTAAATAAATAAATAAAAACAAAAAAAAAAAATGGCAGAAAAAATTGAAAAAAAAATAATTTCTATGTAAGCCATTTTTTTAGCAATTTAAAATTCTTATCATTTAATTAATAATTTATTAGTTTAAATATTTTTCAATTACAATAAGTAATGTAAGAAATTATAACTTAATTTTAAATTTTACAATAAATATTTCAAAAAAAAAATTTTTTTAATCCATCATTAAATTTAACAATAGAATTTACATTATAGTTTCGGAAACAACTTTTGATATTATCTCCCAGATTAAATAATTATATACATATTTTTAAATAATTATATAATAATATATAGCTCATAGGTTAATTAATTATAATTATATTTAAAAAATATATTAAAAAAATAATTATATAAAAAAATATCAGATTTTAGTTTTATTTAATTTTTTAAGATTAATTCATAATTTAAAGAAATTGATTATTATATTAAATTAAAAAGTTTAATTAATTTCATATACTTTTAATTAATTATATAATTATATATACCTCTTAGGTTAATTAATCATATAAATTATATTAAAAAAAAACAGCAAGTTTTAGATTTTTTTTTTAAAAAATAATTAATAATTTAAAAAAATTGGTTATCATATTAAATTATTAAGTTTAATAGTGTACTTAATGTGAATTTGCAATGCATTTACAATAATTTGACCAAACCAAATTCATAATTTAATTTTATTTTAAAATTTTTCAAAAAAAAAAAAAAAAATCACTTATAAATATAAATTCAAATTTGATAAATAATTCATTGTTATCTGTTTACTGATTGTAAATTGGTTTAAAAACAAAAAAGGAGCAAGAAATGGAAGAATCTGGAATACCTTCTGCTATTGGTGATGATGAATGTGAGAAGAGGAAAAAACGTGGACCAGTTGGAAAGCTTTTCTTTAAGGTTTATTCTAGCTTTTAATTTAAATTAGTTTCTTAAAAAAAAAGAAAGAGAGAGAAAAACGAGAGGGAGAGAGAGAAAGAGAGAAAATGCAAAAGAAAAAAATTGTTAGATTTAATTGAATAGAAGGTTATTTGATTAATGAAACAAATTTTATTCTAAGTATATTTTAATTTTGTTAGTATTCATAAAAAAAAAAAGTTGAAAAATGAAAAAAGAGAATAATTAAAATGAAAAATGATCAAAGATTAATTTGAAATGATAATTTAAATGCTAAAATTGAAATAAAAGGGGATTAACCATTAACGAATAGTTGTTTGTTATTAGTTTTAAGTAATTTAACTAATTAAATTTAAGTTATTTGAAAGATTTATTTTGTCAAATTTAAGTTATTTGAAAGATTTGTTTTGTCAATTTTAAAATAATTGAATGATTTAATTTCTTAAATTTAAGTTATTTGGAAGATTTATTTTGTCAAATTTTAGTTATTTGAAAGATTAATTTTATTAAATTTAAGATATTTGAAAAATTTGTCTTGTCAAACTTATTTGAAAGATTTATTTTATTAAATTTAAGTTATTTGAGAAATTTTTTTTGTCAAATTTAAGTTATTTGAAAAATTAATTTTATTAAATTTAAGTTACTTGAAAAATTTGTTTTTGTCAAAATTTAAGTTTATTTGAAAGTTTTTATTGTTTAATTAACTAATTGTAATAGTTTAAAAAAATTTTGAGAAATTACTTTTTTTTCTTTTTTAATAAATTAATAAATTAATTTTAGGTAGGTGAACGTATGGGAATTGTTGAGCAGACACGTTTAGCACCTGAATTTGTTACTGAAATTGAAAAATATTACAAGTTAGTTATTAATTATTTACTTTATTATAATAATTACTTTATTATGAATTTATTATTATTATTGATCCAAAAAATAAATGTGAAAAATTTTTAAAAAAAAACAAAATTTATCATTGATCTTTTATCTGTTAAGAAAGATTCACTAATTACTTAATTAATTATAATAATTACCTTATTATGAATTTATTATTATTATTATTTAACCGAAAAATAAATGTGAAAAATTTTTTAAAAATGAAATTTTCATCAAGGAACATTTATCTGTTTAAGAAAGATCCATTAATTAATTCTGAATTTATTATTATTATTATTATTGTTACTATTATTGAACCAAAAAATAAATATAAAAAAATTTTTTAAAATGAAATTTTCAACATTTATCTTTTTATCTGTTAAGAAAATGAAACAAATAATAAATTATAAATTGAAAATTTTTCAAATTCATCTCCATTTTTTTTTTTCTTTTTTATTTTTTTTGGATAATTTTTTAAATGAAAAACTAATTATTATTTTTAGTTATAAAATTATTTCAAATTTATTACTTTCAATTTTTAAAAATAAAATTTTCATTCTTTTATCAGTTAAGAAAGATCCATTAATTACATATGAATTTATTATTGTTATTATTGAACCAAAAAATGATTATAAAAAAATTTTTTAAGATAAAATTAAAATAAAAAATAAAATAAAATATTATTAAATTTATCTCTTTCAAATTCATTCTTTTATTGATAATTGAACAATTTCTCATTTTGCACTTATCAATTAATCATAATTATTGATTTATTTTAAATTTAAAATTAGACAGTTTTTCCTTTTTAAAAAAAAAGAGAGAGAGGGAGAGAGAGAGAGAGGGACAGAGAAAAGCTTTTTGTTAAGAAATGATAAATTTACAGATATCAAGAAGATGTTGATAAGTTAGTTGATCGATTAGAAATTGTCCTGCAAAACGATGAGACAGTTTTACGGAGTGGAAATATTGAATGTAGCGAGAAAACGGATCCGTATGAGATATTTGCACAAAATATTAATGCTTTCCGATCATTTCATCCTGAAAATGCTCAGGTAATTCGGAAAATAAAATCCAGAATACTAAGCTATAAATTGTTTAAAATTTTTTTTTTTAATTATTTCTAAAGTGTTAAAAGAAAGAAAGCAAAAATCTCTTTTAAACATTAATTTTCAAAATTTGAGCACAAATTAATATTAATTAATTTAATAATTAAATAATTATTAAATTTGATTTATTTATTTTTAGTACTAATCAAATACATTGATTTTCATAAGTTTATAATTTATTTTTACTTTTCTTTTCCTTTTATTTTTTTGATTTATTAAACTTGAATGATTACTTTTGCGATGATTACTATCTATTAAATTAAATTATAACAAATGTAATTTTAGTTATTAAGTTAATATTAAAGCAAAAATTAAGTAAAATTAGATTTGAAAAAAAAAAAAAAATTTAGACAGAAAAAGATTTAATTGAAATTTTTGCATTAGTTTTAATTTTAGGTTTCATTAACTGAAGCTGAAGCAGTTGTTAAACGTTTAGCAATAATGAATCGAGAAATGCAATCTAAAGGTTTTCAAATAATATTATTAATTTTAATATTTTTTACTTTTTCTTTTTTTTAAAAAAAAAAATAATTATTTAATTTAATTAAAATTTTAACAATCTGTTAGCTTTATTTGATATAAAATTTTAGTTAATTAATATGATAAGTAATACAATAATTTCTTTTTTTTAAATTAAAATTTAAAATTTTTAATTCTGGAAAAATATTCTCAATTAATAATATTATTAATTAATATTTTAATATTAATTTTTAACAAATTTACATAATATTATTATTTTATTATTTATTAATTTCAATGTTTTTTACTTCTATTTTTTTTTTTTTTTTTTTTTTTTTTTTTTTGAAAATGGTTATTAAATTTAATTAAAAATTTAACAATCTATTAGCTTTGTTAGCAACCTATTAATTTTACAAAAAACATTTTAGCTAATTAATACGATAAGCATTCCTTTCTTTTTTTTTTTTTAAATTACATATTCAATTTTTAATTTCTGGAAAGTTATCCTCAAATAATATTAATAATTTCAACTTTTTTTTACATTTTCGTTTTTTTTTTTTTTTTTTTTAAATAATTATTAAATTAATTAAAATTTTAACCGTCTGTTAGCTTTATTTGATGTAAAATTTTAGCTAATTTATATAATAAGCCTTCCTTCCTCTTTTTTTTTATTTTTTTTTTAAATTATATATTAAAATTTTTAATTTCTGGAAAATAATTCAAGCTTAATTTAATTTAGCTAAAAATATAATTATGATAAGATAAATTTAGGTACAAATTTATCAAATTTAATAATTTATTTTAAAAATTTTCTGATTTTATTTTATAATTTCTAAATTATTTCTTTGAATAATTTTATAAATTTAAAAAAGTTAATTTTTTTTTTTTTTAGGTCGTCGATCAATTCATAAAATGCGACAATTTGTGACACACGAGAAATTAGCAATGACTGAAGCACAAAAAAAATTAATGCAAGCACGCGATACGATGGATGCAGCTCGACATGATGTTTATATTTTTATTCAAAATTTTTATTTAAATTTTTTTTTTTTTTTTTTGTCAACAATTTAAATTTTTTTTTTTTTGTTGACAAATAATTGAAATTTAGAATTTTTAAGATTTGCAATTTTTTTCTTTTATTTATATTGTTTAATATTTGATTTTATATTAACTTTCTTTTATTTTGTTTTGTTGTTTTTTTTAAATAAATTAAAATAAAAAAATTTTTTTTTTTTTATTTTAATTTATTTAAAGCTTAAACATGCACGAACAACAGAAATGGTTGAGGAAAAGGGAAAATATTACGAACGTATGGTAAGAGAATTTGATCAACAAGCTGCCCGTGTTGCAGCATTTCCCGAACATTTACCCGCGGATAAAGAGGAACATCAGAAGGAATTATTTGATGTATACTTTTAGCTATTGGAAAAATTATTTGTTAATTTTTTCTTTTCTATTTTTAAAATTCAAATTAGCTTTCTATTTTCTTTTTTAATTAAAATTAATTATTAGTTTATTTTTCATTTTTCCTCCAATTTTTTCTTTTCTATTTTTAAAATTTAGTATAAGTTAAATTAGTTTTTTATTATCATTTTTAATTAAAATTAATTATTAGTTTATTTTTCATTTTTCCTCCAATTTTTTCTTTTCTATTTTTAAAATTTAGTAAATTTAAATTAGCTTTCTATTTTCTTTTATAATTAAAATTAATTATTAGTTTATTTTTCATTTTTCCTCTAAAAAAAAAAATAATTTTTGATGAAATTAATGAATGAATATTAATTGTTTCAACATTTACTTAGTCAATTATTGTTAGAATTTAAAATGAAATTTTTTTTTTAAAATATTTGAAATTTCAGTTTATTTATTTTAAAATAAAATTTAAATGGTACTGTTTGCAGTATTTTGAAACGCTTGGAAATTTTCATCAAAATGCAAATTTATTGCTTGAAGAGCATTTGCCACTAATGAAAATACCACCGACTGTGACAGTTACAAATCCTCGTCAACAATAAACAATAATATTTCATTAATTATTAGCATATTAGCTAATTTGTTTCTTTGAATAAATTCATATTGTTATTTATTATGACAATTTGCGCCACACATATTTATTCAATCATTTGAAAGTTTATTGATTAGTAATTGGCTAATAAAAAATTGATCAATTAATAAAGTAACAAAATTTAAATTTTAAATTCATATTCTCAGCAAGTTTATTTTTAGCAAACTCTATTATTAATCAATTATTTTGATGTAAAAAAAAAAATAATATTTCAATATTTAAATTCATATTGTTATTCGTTTTGACAATTTGCGCCACATATTATTCAATCACTTGAAAGTTTATAGATAGTAATTGGCTAATAAAAAATTTATTAATTAATAAAATAAAAATATTTAAATTCATATTCTCAATATTTTGATATCAAATTTATTCATAATATTCCAATATTTAAATTCATATTGTTAATCGTTATGACAGCTTGCGCCACATATTGCCCAATCAATTGGAAGTTTCTTGATTAATAATTGATTAATAAAATAACAATATTTAAATTTTTAATTCATATCCTCAATAAGTTTAATTTTAGAAAATTTCATTTTTAATCAAATATTTTGATATAAAATTTATTCATACTATTCCAATATTTAAATTCATGTTGTTCATTATGTCAATTTGCGCCACACATATTATTCAATCATTTAAAAGTTTCTCGATTAATAATTGATTAATAAATTGAAATATTATAATTAAAATTTTTTAGGATAGAATTAAAATATTTTAGGCAATTCTCAATAACTTTATTTTTAGCAAATTTCATTATTAATCAAATATTTTGATATGAAATTTATTCATAATATTTCAATATTTGAATAATTGGTATAAAATAAACTGTAAACCAATATTTTATTTTTCTTTTTTAGAATTTTGTTTTATATTTAAGTTTTTTTTTTTTTTTTTTATTTATTAATTATCAAAATTTCATTCAAAAAATTTTTTCTTTTTTCACTTTGAATAAATGAATTTATAAAATTGAAATGAAAGTAATATTCAATTAAATTTCATCCAATGTAATTAGAAAGTTAGAAAAAAAAAATGCATCTAATTAAGGTTAGAAAAATTTTACTTCAAATTTTGAAATTAAATGTAGCATTCATTTTACTTTAATTTTACTTTTTACTTTCATTTCATTTTTAGATTTACAGTTTATCACCAAGTATAATTATTAATTTTAATTATTCTAGCAGAGAAAATAAAAACAAACAAAAAAAAAAAGAGCGATAATTTTCCTTGTGATAATGCATTTTTATATTTTATAAAATATTTTTACAAAATGTTTTTTTTTTTTTTAAAAAAATTTAAAAAAAAAATATTTTTACTTCTCATACATCTCTAAAACATTTTTCTTTTTTTTTTCTCAACAAATAAACATTAATTCCATTGGAGTATATTTAATATAAAATTAAGAATAATGAAATTTTTATTGAAAAAAAAAGAAAAAAAATTAAAATTTAATTTTTTTTAAGAAAAAGTAAAAAAGAGGAATATTTAAAAGGAATTATTTCATTTTTCAGAAGAAAAATAAACAATCAAAACTGGTACTAAAAAATTTTTTAATTCATAAAAAAAAAAAAAAGAAAAACGAAATAAATTTTTTTAAAAGGAAGAAAAAAAGTAGAAATTAGAGCAAAATACAATTAATAATTTAATAGTACAAATAAAAAAAAAATTTTTTTTTTTATTTTTAATTTTTCATTCAAATTTAACATCCATTTGTTAAGATAATTAACAAAGATAACAAAGAGAGGGAGAGAGAGAGAAAGAGAAAGAGAAAAAAAAAAGTTAAATTTAAACAAAATGAATTGTCATTGTTTGTTTATCTTTTTTTTAACTTGTTTATTTTTTTTCCTCCCTCTCTCTCTCTCTCTCTCTCTCAAATTCTTTTTATCTGATAGTATAAGAAAATAAAAATTAGAACTAATATGAAATAACAAGTTTTTAAAGATTTTCTTTTGTTTGTTTATTTTTTTTTTTAAACTTGTTTATTTGTTTTTATTCCTTCCTCCTTCTCTCTCTCTCTCTCTCTCTCTCTCTCTCTCTCTTCTGTCCATTTCAAATTCTTTTTATCAGATAAAATAAAAATTAGGAATAATATATGAAATAACAAGTTTTTAAATAATTATTAAATTTAAATTCTTCAATTTTGTCATCTATCTAATTTGTCATTTCTTTCTTCTCCTTCTCCTTCTTCTCATTCTTCCTCTTTCAATAAATTTTGAGTATGTATCGAAATGCCATAGCAAAAACCGGAATATACATTCGACCGATTAATCCGTTCCCTCATTAATGTCACCAATACCATTTTGCTGTCACCATTACAACCATTTTAATACCGGTATAATTATCATGTGACAACTGGTACCATATTCCTATATCCATTCTTTCATATATAAAAGCTGCCATATTACATCAAACAATTGAATCATTTATTCAAATTATTCATATCTTATTATTATTGGTATTAAATTACTTAAAGTTTTAATTATTTTATCTTTCTTTTTTTTTTTATTAAATCTTTAATTTAAATTAACAAAAAATTTTAAATGTTTATTCTTTATTTTAGTTTAAATGAGATTTACTAAATTAATTAGCATTTATTAGTATACTTGCAATAGTTTAGTAATAATTTGGCTTAATAGTTTAGTAAATTAACTTTTGTTAAATTACTTAGCACAAAGTTTTAATTAGCTTATCGTTTTTTCTTTTTTTTTTTTTATTAAATCTTTTAATCAAATTGATAAAAAAATTTTAAATGTTTAAATTTTGTTTGGTTTGAATTAGCATTTATTAGTATACTTTTAGTAGTTTAGTAATAATTTGGCTTAATAGTTTGGTAAATTAACTTTTTGTTAAATTACTTAGCAAAAAGTTTTAGTTAGCTTATCGTTTTTTATTAACAAATCTTTAATAAAATTAGCAAAAAATTTTAAATGTTTAAATTTTGTTTAGTTTAAATGAGAGTTATTAAATTAATTTAGTGAATTAACTTTTGTTAAATTACTTAGCTAACATTTATTGTATGCTTTTTTGAAAAATTCAAATCTTTTTTTCTCATTTTTTTCTTCAAATACAAAATTTTTTACAAAATTTGTATTTAATAGCATTAAAGTTTATTTACAACTAAATAAAAATGTATTAATGATTAAATAAGAATTATTCGACTTACTTTAATTTACTTTAACTGTAATCGATTTGTTATAATAAATTTCAATGTGGAAAAGTTTATGTGTCAGATTTTTTGTATGTTAAAAACTATATGTTAAATTAATTTGTAATTAATTAAAATTTATTTTTATTTTTTAATTTGATATTTTGCACCTTTATATTAAATTAATTTTTATTTTTTAATTGGATATTTTATACTTTTACGCTAAATTAATTCCTATTTTATAATTTGATGTTTTACTTTTACCTTCTTTTCTTGTATCATTGACAAATTTATTATTTCAATATACAATCATACAAAGCTAACTTAATTAATCAATTAATTTTTATTTAAATACTCAAAATTTTCATTTTCAATATTTTTTTTTCCGACGATAAATTAATTCTTACCTTTTAATTTTATCTTTCTTACTTTTTAATTTGATCTTTTATATCTTTATGTTAAATTAATTAATTAATTAATTTTATTTTAATACCCAAAATATCTATTTTCAGTATTTATTGGACGATAAATAAAATACTTACCTTTTTCAATTTAATCTTTTACACCTTTATGTGAAATTTATTTTTATTTTTTTAATTTGATATTTACATCTATTTCTTTCCTTGTATTTATTATTTCAATATATAATTATACAAAGCTAACTTAAGTAATCAATTTAATTTTAATACCAAAATTTTAATTTCAGTATTTGTTGAACGATAAATTAATTCTTAATCTTTAATTTGATGTTTCACATCCAATTTTTTCTCTCTTAAATGATTGACAAATTTATTATTTCAATATATATTTATTCACAGCTAACTTAATTAATTAATTAATTTTTATTTAAATACCTAAAATGTTCATTTTCAGTACTTTTTTTTTGGACGGTAAATTAATTCTTTCCTTTTAATTTCATCTTATTTTTTAATTTGATCTTTTACATCTTTATGTTAAATTAATTTTTGCTTTTTAATTTGATGTTTCGCATCTAATTTTTCTTTTCTCAAATCATTGACAAATTTATTATTTCAATATATAATTATACAAAGCTAACTTAATTAATCAATTTAATTTTTAATACCAAAATTTCAATTTCAGTATTTATTGGACGATAAATAAATTATTTACCTTTTTCAATTTAATCTTTTACATCTTTATGTTAAATTAATTTTTGCTTTTTAATTTGATATTTACATCTATTTCTTTCCTTGTATTTATTATTTCAATATAATTGTACAAAGCTAACTTAATTAATCAATTTAATTTTTAATACCAAAGTTTCAATTTCAGTATTTATTGGACGATATTACATTTCAATAATTTCCACAGTCAAATAATTATGACTAAAATTAAATTAGCAGCTTTTTCGGCTATAATTACTTCAATTATTACAATAACATTTATTTTTACACAAATTCATCAATTTTTTGGTTCTATTACAATGCTAAAATATAAATTAACCATAGGAATGGATGAATTTATGATTATGCAAGTAAGTTTAATTTCAATTTAAATTAAATTTTCAATTTTTTTAATTTTTTTTTTTTTTTGAAATCAATTTTTTCAATCTTTTAAATTCATTCCTTTTTCTCATTCATTTTGATTCAATGAATCATAAAAAATTGTTTGACCTGATCATATTGACCTGACCTATTAACATATTTACAAAATTTAAATTAATTGCCAGCAAATTATCCGAAAAATATTTTTCAAATTTTACTAGAATTAATAATAATATAGAAATGAAATTATGCATAAATTTAAATTTGAAGTTGAAAAGAAAAAAAAAAAAAAATTCATGAATACAATGCGAGTAAGTATTGTATGATTAAATCATTTTTGAAATTTTTTTTTTAAAAAAAAAAGTTTTTCAAAATTAAAAAAAAAAAAAAAAATTGTGCTGAATTTTTGATTGATGCATTTTTATTACTTATTGTTGTTGTCGGTGGTGAAAATTTAATTTTAATATAGGAATTTTTACTACTTATTATTATTGTTGGTGAAAATTTACTTTTAATATTTAAAAAAAAAAATAATTTAAAAATTTCAATTTTAAAATTTAATAACTTAATAAATGGATAGTTTTTTGCTATAAAAGATTTTCTTTTGTGGTTTTTGACTAATTTCACATTTTTAAATCTTTTTTTTTTAGCACAAAACAATAATAATAATAACAAGGAGAAATTATTTAAAACAAATTAATGCTATGCTAAATTAATTAAAATTAAATCCAAATATTAAATTTAAAATATAATTTTACAGTTTGCATTAATAAATAATTAAATCTGAATGTTAAATTTAACAGTTTGCTTTAATAAATAATTAAATCTTAATATTAAATTTAAAACACAATTTTACAGCTTATAATAATGATAATTGAATCTGAATATTAAATTTTAAATATAATTTTACAGTTTGTATTAATAAATAATTAAATCTGAATGTTAAATTTTAAATATAATTTTAAATAATTAAATTTGAATATTAAATTTTAAATATAATTTTGCAGCCTATATTAATGAATAATTAAATCTGAAAATAATTAAAATGAATAAAAAAAAAAAAATAAAAAAAAAATAGAAGAGCTATTTAGAAAAATTTTTATGAAATTTGAAAACTATTCAAAAACTTACAATTATTCGATTGTATTTGAGTTGCTGCAAAAGTATTTGCATTTTGATTTAAATTTAAAGTTAGTAAAATTAATAATAATAATAAGAATAATAATAGAATAAATAATGTTCATATTAACTTAGCCTAAATAATTTTTAAATGTTAGATTTGAAATAATCTTATAAATCAAAGAAGTTATAGTTTATTAATTATTACTACTTTATTATTTCTTTTTTACTTTTGTACTGTCTTTTCACTATTTTTTTTTTAAATAATCTTTTACTTTTTACTAGTTTTTACTATTTTTCCATTCATTAATTTCGAAAATACCTCAGAAAAAGCCAAATTTTTCATTTCTTAAAAAAAAAAAAAAGGAAATAAGCTATATGAATATTTCAGAAAGTTAGAAAAATGATTAATGATTAATTATTAAACAATTAAAAAAATAATTAATTATTAGACAATTAAAAAAATAAAAAATAATTATTCGAAAGATAATTAATAATTAATTATCAAAAAATTAAAACATAAAAAAAGAAAAGAATTTAAACAAAATAATTAATTATTAGATAATGTTCTATTAGACAATTAAAAAATGAAGAAACAAAAAAAAAAAAGTTTTTTATCAATATAAGCAGTAAAATTAATAATTATTATAACTATAATTACTAATTAATATTAAGCTATAAAATTATATTTGAAATTTAATAATCAATCAGCAAAATAAGCTATAAAAAATTATATTTAAAAATGATTATTCAAAAAAATATTTTTGATATTTTTATGATAAAAAAAAAATTTTTTTTATAGGATCAAACATGGATCGAATTACAAGAAGCACGGCTAATGCAACCAATAAAACAAAAACGTTTGGTTCGTCAGGTAAAACCGGAACCGAAATGCAGTAAGTTTCTCGTGAAAAAAATTTATATTTCAAAAAAAAACTTTAAAGTTTTTTTTTTGAATTTAATTTAAATGAATAAGTTAATTGATCAGTTGTTTATAGACTGTGATACGTCGAATCGATGTCCACCAGGTCCACCAGGTAGACCAGGTATGGATGGAATGGATGGTATGCCTGGTCAACCAGGTCCACCAGGTGAACCTGGTCTTCCGGGAATTGCTGTACCAATTGAGCCATTGAAAGATTATGGTTCATGTCGGGTATGTCCTCCAGGACCAGCTGGTCATATGGGTTATCCAGGAGCACCTGGTTCACCGGGAACACAGGTATTTTAGTTACTTGATTTATTTTATTCAATTTCACATTTCAGGTAAATTTTAAATTGTAGCTCAAATCGAAAACTTTAACATTTTTATACAAAAAAAAAAAAAAACATTGTTTACAGGGTGCACCTGGAAATGATGGCCTACCAGGTCATCCAGGTCAACCTGGTCAACTTGGATCACCGGGTGAAAGAGGTGAACCAGGACCAATTGGTAAAGATGGACCAGTCGGAGCACCAGGTCGAGAAGGAGTCCGTGGCCTACCGGGTGCATCAGGTGAACCAGGTCCACGTGGTCAAATTGGACCTAAAGGTTTCATGGGTCCGCCAGGAAATGCAGGAAATCCTGGTACACAAGGTGCAGTGGGACCACAAGGAGATGTTGGACAACCAGGTCAGTTTTTTTCATAGTCTTTTCCAGAAGAAATTAACTTTACTTATAATAATTTTACTAGCCATATACATTACCAGTAAGTAAAGTAAGCGTACGTAATTTTTCTCTAACTAGTAATTTTCTTTAAATACTTTTAAGCATTATTAAATTTTTATCATAATTATCAGTAAATAAAAAATAAAATTACACCATTCAGGACAACGTGGTTATGCTGGTGGTGTTGGTGCACCTGGTTTTGTTGGTTCACCAGGTGAAGATGCTGGATATTGTCCGTGTCCACATCGACGTACAAGAAAAGTTGTTAAAGTAGCAGCTACCACATCAAGAAAATTGTGAAAAAACCAACACAGTTATACCATATTGTAATAAAATGATTGTTAATCAATTGATTAAAGATTAGCACACGTCACTTACGTTTACTTACTTATTATTAAAAGACCGCAAAAGTACTTATTATTAAAAGCTTATTATTATTACTTATTATTAGAAGACGCTGAAGTTAAATTTAAAGGTATAAAGGAAAAGTTAAATAATTCAACAATATATACTTTCATTACATATTTTTAGAGTAATAATAAAGAATTGTTTTTTTTTTTTTTTTAAATGTAAATATTTGAAAATTTTTAATTGAAAAAAGAAAAACAAAAAACAAAGAAAAAATAGCCAAAAAGGAATAATAAAAGAAATTAATTATTAAATAATATTTAATTAGTAAAAAAAAAAACTACTCTATCTGCTTTTATCTTCTAACACAGTAATTTGCTTTTTTTTATTTTCAAAAGTTAAAAATTTTATATTATTAGTGATTTAAGTATTTAATAAAAACAAAAAAGTATATAATCAATTTTAAGTATATAATAAAACGAAAAATTATTGCACAACAAACAAATGATTGAATTTAATTTGTTAAATAATATTTAATTTTTGTTAAATATTATAAATTAAATGTTAAATAATATTTAATTTGTTAAAAAATATTTAATTAATAATTGAGTAATTGCTAATTTCTCTTGCAATAAATTACAAAATATTAAAATACTATATATTATAAATAAAAAAAAATTGATTTCAAATATAAAATAAGATAAAACTACTATAATTCAATAATTGATATTTCAAATATAAAATATTTAAACTAAAGTATATATCAAATATAATTTCAAATACAGTTTTATAATTGATGCTTTCATAAATAAATTATTCAAAATTTAATGTTGAAAAATTATCATTTTTTTAAAATATTTCCTTTTGAATGATTTTGAAATTCTCGTAGAAAAAATCAAATTATTTTTGATATATTTTATAAAATAGCAATAAAACGTCGTAATTATATTCTTTTTTCTTTTTTATTGAAATATTGAAATAAAAAAAAAAAAAAAAAAAAGAAAAGATTTTACTCTTTATTCGATTGCTTAATGCATTTGCACTTTTTGAAGGACATTTTTGTATATTTACCTCCCCATTTCGTGCGCAAATGTCACAGCGTCAATTCATTTCGGTCAATTGTTATGGGATTAATTGTTAGCCGGAAATTAAACTATTTCATTTCTAAATCATATTACAAAATCTGAGAATAGAAAATAGTTTATTACTATGATAATAGTAACTCAAACAGATTATTTTAAAATTACTGATAAAATTATTTGATTATGCAGCAAAAACAAGATTCAATTTTTTTTTTCTTCCATATGTAATAGATGTAATGAAAATGTAATGAGTTTTTAATTTATAATTCAAATAAAAAGTAAGTTATTGCATAGATTAAGCTGTTTCAAAGATTTGATAACATTTGATAACACATACGATATGATATGATATGATATAATACATCAGCAAATTTAATCCGTTAAAGTCATTAAAACATTTGTGTGCAACTGATATGATGTGATATGATGCGATATAATACATCAACAAATTTAATCCATTAAATACATTAAAACGTTTGTATGCAACTGATATGACACGATATGATATGATGCCAGGCGATGCAATGTGATATGACATGGTATGATATGATATATGATACGATATGATATGGTACGATACGATACAGTATTTTATAATGCGATACGATATGGTATGATCCGATACAATATATGATGTGATACGGTACAATATAAGATACAATACGATGCATGATATGATATATGATACGATACGATACGATTCGATACAATATGATATGATACGGTATAATATGATATGACTTGATACTATACAATACAATATATGATAGGATATGATATGGTATAATATATCACGTGATACGATACGATACAATATGATATGATATGGCATAATATGATATGACGTGATACGATACAATACAATATGATATGATATGGTATAATATGATATGACGTGATACGATACAATACAATATGATATGATATGGTATAATATGATATGACGTGATACGATACAATACAATATGATATGATAGGATATGATATGGTATAATATATCACGTGATACGATACAATACAATATGATATGATATGGTATAATATGATATGACGTGATACGATACAATACAATATGATATGATATGGTATAATATGATATGACGTGATACGATACAATACAATATGATATGATATGGTATAATATGATATGACGTGATACGATACAATACAATATGATATGATATGGTATAATATGATATGACGTGATACGATACAATACAATATGATATGATATGGTATAATATGATATGACGTGATACGATACAATACAATATGATATGATATGGTATAATATGATATGACGTGATACGATACAATACAATATGATATGATATGGTATAATATGATATGACGTGATACGATACAATACAATATGATATGATATGGTATAATATGATATGACGTGATACGATACAATACAATATGATACGATAGGATATGATATGGTATAATATATGACGTGATACGATACAATACAATATGATACGATAGGATATGATATGGTATATCATATGATACGATAGGATATGATATGGTATATCACGTGATACGATGCAATACAATATGATATGATATGGTATAATATATGACGTGATACGATACAATATGATATGATACGATATGATATGGTACGATACGATATGATATGGTACGATACGATATGATATGATATGATGTGACATAATACATTAACAAATTTAAACCATTAAATTCATTAAAACATTTTTATGCAATAACAGACCACACAAATTATACAACAAATTGTTGTAAAAAATGTATAAAATATTCAAAAGTTCAATTATTTGTTACTATGAAACGTGAGAGAAACGTGAATGAAACGTAAGTTAAGATTTAATTAAAACAATCTAAAAAAAAGCATAAAAATGAAAGTAAGTATTGAATTTATTTTTATTATTAACAAAAAATTGTTATTCGTTATGCGAAAAACATAATATAATTTTTCATTTAAAAATATTACTACGATAATTATTAGAATTAAAATTATAATTTATAATTTAAATTTCATACTCATTAGCATTAAACCTTTGAAACGAAATAAAATAACAAATAAATTCTCATATGGAAAATGAATGCATTTCCGGTTAGATTAATCGTTACTCTAATTTGTGATGTCCTATTTTCTGAATTTTTAATTTTTAATCTCGTCATCCGATAAAAATGAGATACGCTATTTTCAGGCAAAAATTTTAAATCTCATCATTTGGTTGTGTTTATAATTTAACAAATGGAATAGTATTTTTATGTTAAAATTATCTAAAATTATGTTTTTTTTTTTTTTTTCATAATTATTTTAAATTGGAATTAACTGCATATTTAATGAATAATAGTTCAATTACATAAAAATTAATCTATAAATTTTTTTTAAACATTAAAAAAATTATACAAACAAAATTATTTTTGTTATTTCAAATAACCAAAAAAAAAAAAAAATATTTTTGTTGTTTATATTTTGAATAAATTAATCGCAGTTAAAGCTTACAATTCTAATTCCTTCCTTTGAAATCAATTGCAGCAATTCATGAATTCAATTCTTAGAATTAATTCCATTAAAAAATTCATTCCAAATAATGTAAACAAATAAATAATATTATCATCAATATCACTTATCATTCCTTATCGTTTCATTCATTTTCATCATTCTCTATCATTTCATACATTCATGAATTCAATTCCTAAAATTAATTCCATTAAAAAATTTAACCCAAATAATATAACAAATACATAATATAACTGTTCAATCGAATTTTCTTTTTCATTTACTCATTTAATCGTTCATTGCAATATTAATTAATTACCCTTCTATCATTCCATTCATTCTTATCATTCCTTATCATCTCATTCATTCTTATCATTCCTTATCATCTCATGCATTCCTATCATTCTCTATCATTTCATTAATTCTTATTATTTCATTCATCCTTATCATTCCTTATCATTTCATTCATGAATTCACGAATTCAATTCCTAGAATTAATTCCATTAAAAAATTAATACCAAATAATATACACATATGTAAGTGAATAACTAATCTGATTCATCCATTGATTGATTTAATTCCTATCAATAATAATAATAATAATAGTAATACTAATATATGCGATTAGTTTTTTTCCCTAATAAATATTTCCAATATGAGTAAAAATTTGCCCCCCCCCCCCAAAAAAAAAAAAAAAAAAAATAAATTTTATTTTCAAGAAATCTAATTTATTTCACAAATATAACCAATGTTTATTCTGATTAATCACCAACCAAAAAATGAAAAAACCATTTAGTCGAGAATTTCTTCATTCAACCATACATATATATATGTCTATTTTATTGTTTGCTAATATTTGCTACCGATCGGTACAATTTATTTCTCACATTGCTTACTTTACATTCTTTCCATGTTTACTTCCATTTTTTTTTTAATTTCAAAAAAAAAAAGATTTAATTTTTTTTTGCAATGATTTTCACATTTTTGCAGAAAAATCAAAAAAAAAAAATTTAATATTTTTTATTATTTTTTATTTGTAGAAAATAATTTCTTTGTATTTATTGAAAATTTCATTTTTTTTTTTTCAATTAATTTAGCATTTTTGCAAGTAGAAATTATATTTTTCATTTCTTTTTTACTTTATAGAAATTAATTTCTTTGTATTTATTGAAATTTTCACTTTTTTTTCTTCAATAATTTTCATATTTTTGTGAAAAAAAAAAGCAAAAAAAAAAATTTATTATTTTTTATTTCTTTTTAACTTTATTTCGTTTCAAATTTTTTGTTTTTTAAATTGAATTTATTATCATATAGGAAAAAAAAAAAACTTTTTTAATCTTTTTTTTTTTTTTTTTTTTTTTTCTACAGTTGAAATTATTTATGGAAAAAAGAAAAAGAATTTAACAAATAATTTTTTGCAACTATTAAATTTTATTTCAAAAATATTTCACTCACTTTTTAACTTAAAAAAAAAAAAAAAGAGAGAGAGAGAGAGAAGAAGGATTATAGTATAAAGTAGTAATTGTATAAGTATGTATGTTTGTATGTGTATGTGTGTGTGTTTGTTTGTCTGTAAGACCGGTTGAAAACAATTTTAAAAACTGAGAGAGAAAAAAAAGAAAAGAAATGTGGAAAAATTTTTTTTTTTTTTTTTTTTTTGGACATTTTGAAATGAAAATTTGTTTGATAATCGTTTTATTGATGCATAAAAATGGACGATGCTATAAAAGAGAGAGAGAGAGAGAGAGAGAGAGAGGGAAAGAGGAAAAATGGTGGCTATTGCTAGATGGATAGAAGATTGTCAACTGTCACAGCAATATATGATTTACCTGTTACAGGTAAACACAGCTTTCATGGCAAATGACAGGAACACTGGACGAGGAAGGATCAGTACAGGTGGAAATATAATTGGAGGAATTAAAATATCATCAGTTTTCCTAAACTTTGTCATCCTAAAATACTTTTTGCATACTATCCTGCTTTTATTGTCATTTTCAATATTATTATTATTATTATTGTCATTATCATTATTATTAGTATTATCATTATTACTAATACTTTTATTATTATTACTTATTATTATTATCGGTATTATTAAAATTATCCTTATTGGTTTTTTTTTTTTTTTTTTTTTGTCATTTTCATTATTATTATTACTTCTTATTATCATTGTTGTAGTATCGTTATCATTATTATTAATGGCTTTATTATTATTACTTATTATTATTGGTATCATTATAATCATCCTTATTAGTTTTTTTTTTTTTTTTTTGTCATTTTCATTATTATTATTGCTATTATCATTATTATTAATACCTTCATTATTATTACTTATTATTATTACTATTATTATTGGTGTTTTTAAAATTATTCTTATTAGCTTCTTCCTTCATTTTTATTATTATTATTATTGTTACTATTGTCATTATTATTATTAACACTCTTATTATTATTACTACTATTGTTACTGATATTATTAACATTATCTTATTAGTTTTTTTTTTATTAAAAATCGTTTTATCAAGGCAAAAAAAAAAAGAGAAATTGATATATTAATTTAGTATCAAAAAAAAAAAAAAAAAGTTGGCAGTAATATTTCATAAAAAAAAAATATAAATAATTTCTAAAAAAACAAACAAAAAAACAATTTTTTCGTTTTTCTTTTTGCAATTAATTTGTCATTTTTATTAGCAATTTTTTTTCGAAAAAAAAGTTTATTATTTATTATTGCAAAAATTGATTAATTCAAAAAATTATTTCACTAAAATAAAAAAATGAAAATAATTTTCTTTCTAATAATTTATTAATTACATTTCGTTTTCGTTAGAAAAATAAATTATTATTTAATTGCTTAATTAGATGTGAAAAATTCGCAAAAATTAACAAAAATTTAAGAAAAGTTTTAGCAATTATTTAATTTTAAAATTTGCAAATGTATAAAATTTTCGTCATTTTAGTCCGAAAAAAAAAAGCTTTCAATTTTATTAATAATAATTTAATTGTTTAAAAAATGGGTAAAATTATGGAAAATGTATAAATTTTAATTTTCAAATTTTTTTTTTTATTGTTGACAATTATTACATTTGAAAAAACCAATCATTTATTAAATGAGATGAGGCGTATAAAAATTTTAAATTATTTTAAAATCAATTTTTTTTTTTGTAATTTTATTTGTAAAGTAAAACAGTGAAAAAATTTTCGGGAATAGCAAAATGTAATTATTATCATTATTTATATTTATTAAAATGAATTTAAATTTATTGAAATTATTTTTTTAATTTACTGAAATGAATTTATATTTATCGAAATGAATTAAATTATTGAAATGAGTTTATATTTATTGAAATGGAATTTATACTTATTGAAATGATTTTAAATTTGCTGAAATGATTTTAAATTTATTGAAATGAATCAAATTATATGTCATGCTAAATAATGCGATTAGCAAACTGGAAATCATCTTTTTTTTTAAAAAAAAAAAAAAAAAAATAATTTCATTCGTTATTCTGTCCAATTATCATTTATCATTTTGCTTAACAGTATCAATTTTCATAAAATTTAATTTAATAAATTTGCAGAATAATTTAATAAATTTATCAAAATTTTTAATTAGTTAAAAAAAAATGAACATTTTATTTTTATTTTTTTTTTTTTTTTTGTTTGCAAAATTAAAATTTGTCGAAATATCAAAATTTTGTTTTTAAAATTTTTATATCAGCAAGTGCAATTTTTTATTTTACATACATTTTAATTACTATCTTTAAATTTTAGTGAAATTTCTTGAAAATGACAAAAAAAAAAAAAAAAAAAAAATTAGAAAGGAAAAATTGTTTGAAAAGTATTTTCTGTCAACACAGTAATCTTTTGAATGACAAAAGAAATGAAAAAAAAAAAAGAAGAAAATTGTTTTGTTTGTTTTCTTCATTTTATCCCCTTTTCTCTCTCTCCCTCTCTCTGTCCCTTTCTCTCTCTGCGACAAATGACAATTTGGGCGAATATAAAAATTAATCCTTTGCAGAATTTTTGTATAATTTAAACGAACAAATTGTCAGCCATTAATATAATATTTACTTTTTTTTTTTCTTTTTCGTTTTATTACTTACCTATAAATTATCTAAAATTGTCACAGCTAATTAAGCAAATTGTCAACTAAAAGCTTTTAAATTTTAAAATGTTCATAAATTATTATTTACTGATATATTACAATAAAAAATTTACTTATAAAACTTTTTTTTTTTTTATAATAATATTTGTAAGTTATCTGTGATTATTATAGTTATTAATTAGTAATTTTTACTTTCTAAAAATTTTATTCAAATTATTTTAAATTAATTTGTTAATATTTCAGATTCTGCAAACTCTAACATTCATCGTTGATTGCTGCGTCGTTCATTAATTAAAATTAAAAAAAAAAAATTATGTCATTTATTTCTACGCCAATGTCACGTCAACCACTTGGTGGACGCTTACGTGAATCAAGTGGTAATTTTGAATTATATATTTATTAATTGAATTTAATTTTGCTCATTCATTAATTTGCAGCATTTAATAGCGAGAGAGAGAGAGAGAGAGAGAGGAAGAAAGAAAGAAAGAAAGAAAAGAAAAGATTGTTTAATTGTATGATATTTTAATTTTTATAAATTAATGTCCTAGTAATTAATAGCTAAGCTAATACTATACAATGAAATTAGCTAACAAACTATTTGTCTCGTAGTAAAATATAAATTTTTTTTTAATTAGTAAAAAAAAAAAAGAAAAAAATAAAATAAACTTTTAAAATTTAATATAATTGGTAAAATAATGAAATTATTAAATCAATAAAATTGTTTTATTATTTTATTTTAAGTAACAAATGGTCGTACTATAAAATTTGTCACCGAAGTTGGATCAACAACATCGTTGACAAGTGGTACTGGAATGTTAAGTGCATCACCATTTGGTCAAAATGCTGCGTCAACTATACGTGATAGCCGTGAACGTGAAAAAAAAGAAATGAGCGATTTGAATGATCGTTTAGCTACTTATATTGAAAAAGTAAATTAAATAATTTTTGAAAAAATTTGAATTTAAAATATATTTGCATAAATAAAATTAATTTAACAAAATTTTATTTAATTAAATAAATTTTTTAATTTATTTTAATGCTTTGATAATTTGCTAAGTTTTGTTTTATCCGAAATTTAATTTCCAGGATTTAAATATTATTTTCATATTACAAAAAAAAAAAAAAAATACAAAAAAAAAAAAGAAATGATATATGTAAAATCAAATTTTCATTTAGTAATTCAACAAATTATTACAAATAAAATGTAAAATGAAAAGGACCATTTAATAATAATAAAAATAATGATAATAATAATAATAGTAATAATAATAATAATAAATTATCAATTTAAAAAGAAAAAAAAAACATTTAAAGGTTCGTTTTTTGGAAGCGCAAAATCGAAAATTAGCGGCGGATTTGGATCTTCTTCGTGGAAAATGGGGAAAAGATACATTTAATATAAAACAAATGTATGAAGGAGAAATTTCGGTAAATAATTTCAATTTTATTTTCAATAAATTATTTTTGTTTTTTCGTTTTCTTAATTAATACTAAATTTTAATATCATTCAATTATAAAATACAAAAATGTAAAAAATCGATGGAAACTAAAGGAAGGAAAAATTCATTTTTTTTTTTTTGCTTTTTATTTAAAATTTTTGAAATTTAATTATTTTAAATATGCTAGGGTAAATTTTAGGATGCACGTAAATTAATTAATGAAACAATAAAACAGCGTGATGATTTGGAAAAGCAAATACGTAAAATGCAAGATGAATTATCCGACTATCGTAAGAGGTCAATTGCAATGATTATTTATTCAAACAAATTGTTTATTTAATTTTTTTTCCTTTTTTTTTTTGTATTTTTTTGAAAAGAAAAATTTTTCAACTTAAAAGTTAACTTTTATTTTTAATAGTAAATTTTATGTGTGCTAAATGAAGTTGAAAAATTTAATTTTTATTTTTAATAGTAAATTTTATGTGTGCTAAATGATTGATAGTTAACAAAATGATTTTAGAAATTTAAATATTGATGTAATATTTTATCAAAAATAAAATTTATCAATGCACACAAAAAAAAAAAAAAAAGAATGTCGCAGATATGATGAAGCATTACGATTATGCGATATTGATCGCAAGAAAATTGATGAAATGTTTTCGCAACTTGCAAAAATTGAAGCTGAAATTAACGCATTGCGACGTCGCATAACAGAATTGGAAGAAGAAGTAATGCGTATTAAAAAAGACAATCAACGATTATTGGGTGAATTACAACGAACACGAACTGTTTGTTTTTGTTTTTGTTTTCAAATTTTTGCGATTTAATTAGAAGAATGTTATTTAGTAATATAATTTTGTTATTTAGTAATATAATTTTGTTATTTAGTAATATAATTTAGTTATTTAGTAATATAATTTTGTTATTTAGTAATATAATTTGTTATTTAGTAATATAATTTTGTTATTTAGTAATATAATTTTGTTATTTAGTAATATAATTTAGTTATTTAGTAATATAAATTAGTCATTTAGTAATATAATTTAGTTATTTAGTAATATAATTTTGTTATTTAGTAATATAATTTTGTTACTTAGTAATATAATTTAGTTATTTAGTAATATAAATTAGTCATTTAGTAATATAATTTAGTTATTTAGTAATATAATTTAGTTATTTAGTAATATAATTTTGTTATTTAGTAATATAATTTAGTTATTTAGTAATATAAATTAGTCATTTAGTAATATAATTTAGTTATTTAGTAATATAATTTTGTTATTTAGTAATATAATTTTGTCACTTAGTAATATAATTTAGTTATTTAGTAATATAAATTAGTCATTTAGTAATATAATTTAGTAATATAATTTAGTTATTTAGTAATATAATTTAGTTATTTAGTAATATAATTTTGTTATTTAGTAATATTAAATGTTATTTATTAATATAATTTAGTTATTTAGTAATATAAATTAGTTATTTAGTAATATTAAATATTATTTAGTAATATAAATTAGTTATTTAGTAATATTAAATATTATTTAGTAATATAATGTAGTTATTTAGTAATATTAAATGTTATTTAATAATATAATTTAGTTACTAATAATATAAATTATTATTTAGTAATATAATTCAGTTATTTAGTAATATTAGATGTTATTTAGTAATGTATTTTTTTTTTTTTTTTTTTTTTTGTATTTAGTAATAATATTAAATGATATAATTTGCTACAAAAATTTGATTTGCTTTCAATTAACTGAATTAATCGATAATTATTTAATAATCAAAATTTGACGGAAGCAACAAATATAATGATTAGAGAAGATTAAAAGTTAATACTATCAATTTTTCAATAACAAATATATTCTATCTTATTAACATATAATAGTTATATGAAAATTTGAATTTAATTCTCGAGAAAGTTGTGATAGATAGATGACATTTCTTTTCTATCATAAAATATGATCTATTCTATCTTATTACTGTACAATAGTTATATGAAAATTTGAATTTAATTCTCGAGAAAGTTGTGGTAGGTAGATGACATTTCTTTTTTATCATAAAATATGATCTATTCTATCTTATTACTACATAACAGTAATATGAAAATTTAAATTTAATTGTAAAAAGTACTCGGAAAGTGATACTTTCTAATCTAAACAATCGAAATAGTCAATTTTTATAAATTGAAATAATAAAAAATTAAAAGAATCAAATTTCAAAGATAATAAAAGCATAATGTAATATTTAAAGGATGTAGATCAGGAAACGTTAAATCGTATCGATCATCAAAATCAAGTGCAAACATTATTGGAGGAAATTGATTTCATTAGACGTGTTCACGAGCAAGAAATACGTGAACTACAAAGTCTTGCTGCACGTGATACGACACCTGAAAATAGAGAATTTTTTAAGAATGAATTAGCATCAGCAATTCGTGATATTCGTGCTGAATATGATCAGGTTTTTTTTCTCATATAATTTATTACTTTAATTTATTTACTTAATAATTTAGCAATAAATTATATTTTTTTAATTATTATTTTTTCATATTCTTTGTTTTTTCTTTGTCTAATTATATAATATAATTAAATTAAATTATTATTTAATTTAAAATAAAATAATTGAACAGATTACAGATTACAAATGTTAATCGTACTGATATGGAATCATGGTATCGTTTAAAAGTGCAAGAAATTCAAACACAATCTGCACGACAAAATATTGAACATGGTTATGCTAAAGAAGAAGTAAAACGATTACGTACACAACTTACTGATCTACGTGGTAAACTAACTGATTTAGAAGGACGAGTAAGTTAATAATAGTATTTCAAAGTATTATAGTTATAAAATAATCAAAAAAAAAAATGATAATAATAAAATCGAATTGCTAATTAATATTTATTATATTAATTGCAATGATAAAAGTTATCATATTGATCAGCAAAACATTTAATAGAATAACAAATAATAATAATTAATTATTGATATTATATTAATTAATGAAATAGTATTTTGAATATTATAATGAAATATTATTCTGAATATATATTCATTAGTAGAATATTATAGTATAAAGTAATGGAGAAAATAAAACAAAATTGCTAATTAATATTTATTATATTACTTGGAAAATTATTTGTAATATAATTATCATACTGATTAGCAGAACATTTAATAGAATAATAAATAATAATACTTAATTATTGGTATTAGATTAATAAATGAAATAGTATTTCGAGTATTATAGTATTAAAGAATTACTAATTCATATTTGTTATATTATTTGTACTTAATTATTGATATTATGTTAATAAATGAAATAGTATTTTGAATATTATAGTATAAATAATGAAAAAATAAAGCAAAATAAAACTGCTAATTAATATTTATTATATTATTTGTAATGATAAAATTTATCATATTGATTAGCAAAACATTTAATAGAATAACAAATAATAATACTTAATTATTGATATTGCATTATTAAATGAACTTAATTAATTAAAGTATTAGCATTATTCATCAGATGAATATGTAATATTTGAAATAGTATTATTTCAAAATAATCAAATTAATTATAAATTAATTTTAGAATTCATTGTTGGAAAAACAAATACAAGAGTTAAATTATCAGCTAGAAGATGATCAACGCTCATATGAAGCAGCATTAAATGATCGTGATGCGCAAATTCGAAAAATGCGCGAGGAATGTCAAGCTTTAATGGTTGAACTTCAAATGCTCCTTGATACCAAACAGGTTAGTAAAATTAGAGATAATTATTTTTCAATAAAGTAATCAATAATTTCCTAATATTTAGTGATTTTTTTTTTTTTTTTTTTTTAAATTTAAATTTTATTATGTCCGAAATTTTATATTATAAAATATTGCTTTCTTACTTTTTTTTTTTTTTCTCAAAATAAAAAGTTAGCAATTAAGCAGAAAATATATTTAAGAAATTTTTAATTTTTTGTTTTGCAGACATTAGATGCTGAGATAGCAATTTACCGGAAAATGTTAGAAGGTGAAGAGAATCGTGCCGGATTACGTCAACTGGTAGAACAGGTTGTACGTACTCATGAGTTAACTCATCGAGATGATACCGGTTAATTTGGTTTTTTTTTTTTGTGAAAAAAAAAAAAAAATTTTTTTCTTTCATTTTTTCGTTTTTAAAAATGAAATTTAAACAAAATTTCATTTTTCAATAAATTTATTCTAACAATTTCAATATTTACGGAAATTTTTATTACTCTTCATGCAACATTAATAATACAAAAAAATTGTCAAAAAAAAAAAAACATTAAAAAAGTACAAAAAAAAAAAAAGAAAAAATTTTTGAAAAATTGATTAATTTCCTTTGTGAAATTTAAATTTTCCATACTTTTATTTTGATAATTTCAAAAATTCAAAAAAAAAAAAAAAAAGAAATTTTTGAAAATAATTTCTAGAAACAATGAGAGTTATGAAAGGTGAAGCTGCATCTCGTACATCATTTCAACGATCTGCTAAAGGAAATGTTTCCATTCAAGTTTCTTTTTTCTTTTTTTTTTTTCAATTTTAATTTTAATTTTATTTTCTTTCTGAACTTTAAAAATTAATCAACTAATAGAAATTTCTCAGGTAAGAAAAAAAAAACGAAAAAGGAAAATAAAAGAGAGAGAGAGAGTGAGAAAAAAAAAAAGTCCTATCAAAAATTTAAATTTAAAAAAAAAAAACAAAAAAGTTGTATCAAATTAAATTTTAAAATATTTACAGGAAACATCTACCGATGGTACCTTTATTATAATTCAAAATACACATCGAGCTAAGGAAGAATTAATTGGTGAATGGAAATTGAAGAGAAAAATTGATGGAAAAAAAGAAATAATTTATACATTTCCACATAATTTCATTCTTAAACCTGGAAAAAGTGTTAAGGTTTAATAATAATTTATCATTCTAACTAATCTTTATCATATTTGTAAATTTTTTAATCTGTAAAATTTGTAAAATTTTTGAATTATCAACAAAAAATTATCATTTTGAATAAACATCTTTTTTTTTTTTTCATTTCAATGATAAATCTTTTCATTTCTAGCATATCTAATTAATTTTCAATAGAAAAACAAAGAAAAAAAAAAGAACGAAACTTTAATTGGTAAAATATTAAATTTTAAAAGAGATGAAAAAAAAATTGAAAATTTTTTAAAAAATTTTTTCATCAAATATTTTTTTGTTTATTTGTTTATTTATTTATTTTCTTCTAATTATAGATTGTAGCCCGTGGACATGGCATTTCATCGCCACCAGAACAGCTCATCTTTGATGGTGAAGAGTCATTTGGCCTTGGCTCAAATGTTCATACAATTCTTTACAGTCGTAATGGTGAGGAACGAGCCACACTTATTCAACGTTCAAGCCAAGCCTAAGAATATATACATATATGCTTTTAATAATTAATTGCATTGCTAAATTTAATGTTTATTTAAATTGAAAACAAAAGATGAAAATTGTGTTGTTTACAAAAATAAACAAATAAATAAACAGACAAGACTCACTTATCTCTTCCATTTTTTGTAACAATAATTCATGAGGAATGCGTCACAATTTAATTTTAAATTGATTTCTAAGCATAAAATATGCAAAAAATAAATAAATAAAAATTTCAACAACTGAAAAAAAAAAAGCTTTTTCTTCTTTTTAATTCATCATGTAAATTGTCATATCATGAATCATTTATCAGTGTAATAAAGAAATGATTATATTAAATTTAATTTTTACTTTTGATTCATATATTTTCGAAAATATTTCATAAGCCAAATGAAACATAAAAATGATCGCAATTTTTCAATTTATGAAATTATTCGAATTATTTTAAGCAACATAAATTCGTTTTGCTATTTATGATTGTGATAATTTATGAAAATGACAATCTATTCAATCACAACTATAACAATTTTTTTTTTGGTATTAATTCTAATTTAATATATAATTTCTCCTTTTTTAAAGATAAAACTATTTTATATTTTCTTTAAATATGAAACAAATATTAATTTCTTTAAATATCTAAGTCAGAGAAACTTCAAATACTTTTCTGCTCGTTTTATTATATAAATTAAAAAAATATATATCTATTAGAAAAATATCAGAAAAAATAGTCAAACTAATAAATATGAAATGATAATGAAAGAGTAGAATAAAATATATCATAGTATAATACCTAATAGTATAAGTATAAAGGAATATTCAAATATTCTTACTCAACAAATTTTCCTTAAATCTTGTCAACTCTAGGCTACTCTCGAATTTTCTAGGCTACTCTCGAATTTGTTGCTATATTTAACTCTACTACCATATTCCTTTCAATCTTTTCAATCATTTAATTTATCTTATTCTCCAACAAACTCTCACATATGAAATAAAATTACTGAATAAACAAATATATTCTAGAAGAACTAAATTATCCTTTTAGAAAGTTAACAAAAATAATTTTAAATCTTCCATAATAAATTTAAATCTTACATAAATAAAGAAATAACAGAATGAGAAGACGATGAGATGAAAACAATAGCAGCAATTAATGTTTAAAAAAGAAAGAAGAAAAGAGAGGAGGAAATTATTTCGTTTGGGAAGGAATTCTGAAATAGAAAAATAATTATCAATTAACCAATATATATAAATTAACCTTTAACCTTTAACCCGTAAAATCAAATGCTCTACTTTTCACCGAAAGAAATATTTGTTAGATCACAAACGAAAGATTCTGAATCTTTCGAAAAAAAAAGTCACGGCGTGGGATTTAATAGTTGCATTCATTTTTTAAATATCAATGAGTGGGAGGGTAAATCGCGGCCATGGTGCTACGGTAGGCGGTGGTACTCAAGTGCGGTACGTACGTTGGGTAACTTGTGGTACCATGGTGTTGGGTTATACTGTGGGCTTAACGTTAATCTGATTCCTGTATGGTATCAGGACTAAATGTGGGTATTTGTATGTTGATGAGCTATGGTACTTGTATGGTACCGGGTTATTGGTTTTGCTATGTCTGTACAATCAAAAAAAATTACTCTACGTAGTACCATAAAATCGTTTCCCAATTTTAAACGTGTTCTTACAGTTTCAGATAAAAGACTTGTGCAGCGGAATGAGGCTTTCACTTTTTCGTTTTTTGTAAGTTCAAGATTAACTTCAAAAAATGGAAGTGCAATTAAGTGAAGCCGAAAAAGTATTCATAATACATGGAGCGCAGGAAGGTTTACGAGCTGATGGACGTGGGTAAGTGTTACAGCTGATTTCAAATAGTTTTAAGTAATTTGGTTCTATTCCGTATTACCTCATTTTTACTCAGTGTTCAAGTTAAATTCTGGCTAACTCTTTTTAAACTTATCCATAGCTTCTTTGGTCTTATTTTTATTATGAGAAAATAACATGTTACAGTTAGCTTTTAAATGATTTCTTGAATTTTTCGAGCAAGCTTTTGAAGAAAAACCTAATAAGTTCATTACACTTCAGTCAAGGGTAATTTTTTTTTAATACTAATGTTTTCTAGTCAGCATGGTCATTCCCTCTTTATTGCAGTCCATTAGATTACCGGCCTATAATAGTTCAAACCGGTGTTTTGGCAACAACAAATGGTTCAGCTCGTGTCCAGATAGGTTCAACTGATTTATTAATTGGTGTCAAAGCCGAATTAATCAGCGTGGATACCGCTGTTTACCGGAATCGGCTAAATTTCTTTGTTGATTGCTCAGCAAATGCCACTCCACTTTTTGCTGGTATATAAAGGATTTTACTTGTTTAATTTCAGTTTTAGACATTGCAGTTATTAGCGTTTGAGATGTAGCATTTTATTTCTTCGTAAATGTATCTAGATAAGGGTGAAAAATGGAATTCTCGAAATCTTCATGAATATACCATTCTTTCTGATATCTCTGAGCTGAATCTTGGATACTTTCGAGTTCTTAAGCTTGTATTCTTACTTAATATAGGTTTTATTATAGCTTACTTAGCTTACTTTAGTTAGTAAGACCTTCTTACTATAGGCTGGGCTAGCATAACATTTAAACAGATTCATATGAATGGTATTGTAATGATAAAAATTTGTTGATAATTTGATAACAGTTAGTTTTGAATTGACATTTTTTGTGATATTTTAGATGTTACGATGATTTTTTTTTTTTAATCCGAAGATTTTGAGAAACAAATTTTCTTTTTCATTTGTGCTAATGCCATATTAACCAAAGTTTGATGAAGTAAATTAATATGAAGTGTAAGATTTATAGTCTTCAATGATCAGTCTTTTCAGAATGACTAGTAAAACTTATAATTGTAGGTCGTGGTGGTGAAGAATTCGCGGATGAATTGAGTGCAGCATTAGATGCTGCTTATGACAACAATTATGTGCTTCCAGATTTAAAAAAGTATTTATAAGTAATAATATGAATGATAAGTGTTAGTAGAAATTCAGAGAATTTGACATGATTTGAATAACTGCTTAGATAGAAATTCATATGCTATGTTTTCCCTTACATTTTTAATATTATTTTTTCATAGATTGATTCTATCTCCAATGCATGCTTGGAAACTGTTTGTGGATATCGTTCTTTTACAATGTGACGGTAATGTTATTGATGCAGCAGGATTAGGGGTTAGTGAATTTCTTTCCTTTTTTATGGAATAAACTTCAAACAGGATGTGAAATTACGAGATTAATAATTATAATAATTACAAACTGAGTTTTTTATGCCTTTTTTAAATTATATATCAATTCTAGGTTAAAGCAGCATTGAAAGACACGGAAATTAGCAAAGTTATAGTCAGACCAGCTGATGAAGGAAAGTATACAATTGATTTACCGGACGATAATACTGTTTGGAAATTAGATACATCAAGGTATCCGTTTTGCAATATAATGGATTTCATGATTTTTTTTTCATGATTTGTTTAAATGAAAATGGATTTATTGTTTTGGTAGGGCAAAGTGTGATATTACTACCTTGCAAGATTTCATTCAAATTCATTAATCTTTTTATCTCGGATGGTTGATTGTCGTTGATCTCTTTAAAGAGCTGAAATTTCTTTCGTACATTGTTATTTCTCACTTCAAGCATTCCTGAGTTCAGATGCAGAGGAATGGGATTTGATTTGTGGATTAGAATTTGATCTCTACGATAAGGACAACTTTATTTCATCGTCTTTCCTTCCTTCAAACTCCCGACTTTCCTCAACTGCTAGAATAGTGCTTAAACATAGTTTCATTAGCTTAATTACAAAATTTCGATTTCTAGAGTTTTATTATTTGTTGCAGAGTTCCTTTATTTGTCAGTGTAAATAGACTTGGAACTGCCAAAATTGTTGACAATTCGTTGACAGAAGAAGCATGCACTCGAACATCTGTTTGGATTGCTGTCGCTCCACAATTTGTTTCTGACATCAATCACAATGTATATCATTTAATTTTTGTCTTTTAATTTTATTTAATTATCAGTCTTTTTTTTTTTCTGAAATTTTAGTGACTTGATTGATTATATCATGAGGTCCACTTGTACTGAGCTAATTTCCTTCAGTGTCTTACATACGTAAAAAGAAAACTGTAAACAATGCATAGATAAGAATGGATGTGAGAATGTATAGTGAACAATTTTTTTCAGCAAAATAATCAATGTGCAGTGAAACGTGATGGTTCCATAATTACATTTATGAGGCAGTGCGGTGGTGGTACTCTTGAAATTGATTCACTTGGTTAGTACTTTTTTTTGTTTTTTTTGTTGTTGTTGTTAAGGTTTTTCCTTTTGTTGGACGCATTTTTTCAAATGGAGAATGTTAAAGCATTCTTTTAAAACAATTTTGTTCAAAGTTAACACATTTCTTCGTACAAATAATTTTAAATTTTGTTTAATTTGCTGTAGCTGATATATATATATATATATATTTGCAATTTATTTGTTTCTATTTTATCAAATGTTTCAGACTTATTAAATGTATTTTAACTGACTTAATGTGTATTTCATTTCACTTAACGTTAGTTTCAATTTCCAAAAATGAAAGAAAGTTTTGGAGAAATAAAAAAAAAACTGTAAATATAACTGTAAACTTCATTTGTGCTTTGTACAGTTTTAGAGGAAATGATCAGTATTGGCCTGAAAGCAGTACATCAACTACATGAAGCACTTAATCAGCGATTGATGAATGAAAATTGGTTGATAGAAAAACCTTTGTCAACATTCTTACAATAAATAACTTTTTTTTTTTCTTTTTTGAAAGTGTACATTTCAAAACAACAGTAGTTTCGGATTTTTGAAAAATCTACAATATTTATGACAAAGCTAATTGCACTGATCAGCTTTTACTCTAGAATGTCAAAGAATTTAATACTCATCTTGACGACAGTTGAATATATGGGAAATTTCAGATAAGTTATATGGAATTATAATCGCTTTTTTTTTTGGAAATAATAGAGCGCAGCTCCATAAGCATGAAATTTTGATAGTTTCTAGGTAAGGTATGTTTGTTTCGGTATAATTTTATCCATCGCTCTTTTCTGTGTTTTGTTTTTTATCAGTCTTCAAGAATAATCCATTCCTTATCATTCCAAAAAAGCATGAATCTGTCAAAAAATTTCTCTTTTCTTAAAGATTAGGCTGACTTTAATGGATTACCTCATTGTTGAGTTTGATTTTATTATTTATTTAAAATTTTTCTCAAATATATGCTCTGTTATACTTAGTTCTTCATACTTTTATCAAATTTTATGCATGTTTTCACATTAAATCATCTTTATTTTATTAATAAAATGAAAATTAAATAATAAATACTGAATCATATCTATTAATGCTTTCACTGTTTTTTTCATTAAAAATGAGTGGACATTCGATCACTTTTTACTGAAGCTTCTTTTGCAACTTTTACAATAGCCAAAAGAATTTTTGATAAGAACATATCGCAATGATCTAGTATATGTCTTTGTACAACTTTAGGTATGGTGTTTCGATGATCGAATATCTTAAATATAACCAATGATCTTTTAACAATTTCTTAATCTTAATCTTAAACTTTATCAATTTAATCTTTTCCAAAACTTCAAATCTATCCATGTAATTTTTGAAACTTACTTGTAATTTACGCAAAATCTCATCAATAACTGGTGGATCCCATTTTACTTTATCAATGAATCGTATTTTTGGATCAACTTTCCACTGTTTGCAAATATACTGTCGTTTATCAGTTTTTTCAGTTTCTCCTTTTCCTAATTTCTCCTCCATTGGTAACTTTCCTATTTCTTTTTTAACATCTTTATCCTGAATTACATCAAATATTTATGTAAATTTTAAATTTTCCAAAATTTTGAACAATTTCTGATTTCCTTTTTTCCTTTTCCTTTTTTTTTTTTTTAAACTTATCTTTAAGTATTTATTGTATATATTTGTAGCACAGTTTCTAAGGAGGAAAATGAAAAAAAAAAAAAAAAAAGTATAATAGTGTAAAATGATAAAATAGTTTAAACCTGTTCGATAAGATAAGATCGAAGTAATTCAGGAAGAAAATTAATTTGTGTTGAGAGATCAGTCTGTACGCCAAGTGCGTGATGAAAATCACATATAAGACTGCACAGGACCTAAACAAAAAAAAAAAGCAAATTCATAATTAATTCCTTAAATGTAAGCATTTTCAACAATATTAGATTTAATGAAGAAAAGATTGAGAAAAAAAGAATGGAAGAATAAAAAGTTGGAAATCATAAAGTTTCATATAAAATTCCACTAATAAGGTTTTGGTATATACTTTTTGATTCTCTAAACAAATAGCACTGACCACACATTCCTGATGAATTTATTCAATTCACAATTTTAATTTTTCTATTGCTATTAAATTTTTAAGGAATATTTTGAAATGAAAATAAAATCACTTCAGTTTTAATATCTTTTAGTTTTTCTAAATGAATTGGTACTTTCTGATTGCTGGTAAAAATTGAATCCATTGCAGGTAGTCTAAAAAATAAATTCAAAAATTATGGAAGAATTATTATTGCTTTTTTTGAACGACAATAATCTATTCATAATAATTTCTTAAAATATCAAATAATGTCGAAAAGAAATAGAATATATTATTACGGTTATAAATTTTTTTTTTTTATTATGAATTATTTTTTTATTATCTTTTTTTATCAGTATGAAATGATTGCAAAATTCTTTCTGTGTTAAAATTAGATAATAAAGGAAAAGAAGAAGAAAGAAAGAATTACTCGAACAGCTCAAGTACCATTGATTGAAATTTGATTGAATTTTGGGTTAATGAGAAAAGCTGTGCTAATGGTTCATCGATGCATAATGTTAGACATTCCTGAATTGTTGCATATTTCGGACATGTTTGATCTTTATGGCGCTGAAATAAAAAAAATAAAAAAAAAAAAAAAAAAAACATAATTCTCAAATTGGGAGAGATAATATTGCATAATCTTATAATAATTAAATTTACTGTACCATTGTATGTACCGTACTAAAATCACTGTATTAAACCTACTGTACTATTGTATTTACCGAATTAAGTCACTGTAAAAAATGTGATTCTCAGATTGTGGGAGGTAATATTGCATAATCTCATAATAATTAAATTTACTGTATCATTGTATGTACCGTACTAAAATCACTGTATTAAACCTACTGTACTATTGTGTTTACCGTATTAAGTCACTGTAAAAAATGTGATTCTCAGATTGGGGGAGGTGATAATGCATAATCTCATAATAATTAAATTTACTGTATTATTCTACATACCGTACCAGAATTACGGTATTAAACTTACTGTGCTCTTGTATTTACCGTGTTAGGTTACTGTAGAAAATATGGTTCTCAGATTGCGAAAGGTAATATTGCATAATCTTATAATAATTAAATTTACTGTATTGTTGTATGTCGTACTATTTTGCTGCACTAAATTTACTATATTACTGCGTTTATTGCACTGAGCTACTGTAATAAAACAATTCTCAGATTGGAAAAGGTAATATTGCATAATCTTATAATAATTAAATTTACTGTATTGTTGTATATGCCGTACTAAATTACTGTATTAAACTTACTGTACTCTTGTATTTACCGTGTTAGGTTACTGTAGAAAATATGATTCTCAGATTGGGAAAGGTAATATTGCATAATCTTATAATAATTAAATCAACTGCGTTATTGTATATACTGTATTAAGTTACTATGTATTAACTTTACTGCATCATTATATTTACTGTATTTAGTTTACTGTATTTTGCTGCAAATTAAGTTTTAAAGCCAAATAAATTCAAGCACAAGCTATTTTTAATGTAATTTCATTCAGTATTGAATTATTGAATGTAAATTAATCTTGAGATTAGTTCGATAAAATATCAAATCAGAAAATAATCATTTATATAAAAAATAGAGTATGTAATAATGTCTTGAATTTTATCAAATAATTGATTCAAAAAAGAAAAATACGTTCTATATTATTTTTTCACTTTAAATAGCAGCAATAATTCTATGAATTAAATACTCCTAAAATTGAAACAAATATTATTTGAAGAAAAAAAAAAAAAAAAATGATCAATGTTTTATAAATTAAACAAGCAATAATAACATTTCCTCCTTTTTCATTTTTCATTTGAATAAAAAAAAAAAAAAAAAACTTTAATTTGTGATAATATTTGAAAAATAAAAATAAAAAAAAAGAAACCAAACCTCAACTTTACAAATAACACTTGTCCAATTATTATCATAAATTTGATTTTCTTTTGTTGCATCATTTAATTTAAGTAATAATTTTTCTGATAAATCAATACCAATTGTTTGTTTTTCATCAAGAAATGTATATTGTGCAGCACTTGAGAAAATTAATGTTGGCTGATTGAGATAGAAAAGCGCCCAACTAAACGAAATTTAAATTGAACAGTTTTAGTTAAATTTACATTTAATAAACAACAAACAAAACGATAGGATTGTTTATTTTATCAACATTGAAGAATTTTATAAGATAAATTATTGCGTATGAACATAAACATTTTTGAATTTATTTTCTTTTTTCTCATCTAAATAATAATAATAATAATTTAAATTAGTTCCACTGTAGAATAGAACTAATTTAAACACCTGAAAATAAGTTTAAGTGTAAGAAATTGATATTAACACTTAAAAAATTTTCTCAGTGTTACATTTTAATTTCATTGTTGAAACAATTAGTGGATAATTCAAAGGAAATTGTTCATAAATTTGTTGAACTGAGAAATTTTATAAAATTTTTTGCTTGTTTCTTTTTTTTTTCTCTTCATTCTATTTTATTTTATTTTATTTTACACAATTTCTTTCTTCCCTAAAACTATAACTGCGTTTTGCATAATTATATTTTACTTAATTTTTACCTTAAAACATAATTTTGAAACATTCCTTTGCTCATTTTGTTTCATTTTTTTTTCATCCAAAATTAAATTTATATTAACTAAAACATTATTAAATTTTAGAAATGAAATTTAAGTATTATTTTGAATAATATACTAAATTACAAACCGATTTGCTGTAATTTCACCTTCCATTAGAACCAATGATGCTTGTTGTCCAATGGAAATTAATTGTCCACAAATAATTGTCCTTCCATTACTAGCATTAGGCATTGGAAATGTTTTACTTCTCATTTGCATATCAGTGACTAAATCAAGAATTTTTGCCCAATGAAATATTTGTGATAATTTAATAACATTTTTAATAGTTCCTGCTAATGTTTTATTTGCTAGATTATGCAACACACGGCTATCTTCCACTTGTTCCTAAAATTTCATTTCATTATTTTAATTTATAAATTTTATTTTCAATGAAATCTTTTATTTAATTATTTATATTTCTACTTTTAATTTTATTTCTAGGTTACATTTTTAATTCTACATTACTTGCATTTTTTTTTCCTTCTTTTTTCCTTGTTTTACTATTGAAAATGGATTAAGTTAATTTGAAAACAAATGATCTCATTTCGATAGTAATAACTAAGTTTTACTTTTGGTTAAAGGAAAAAAAATTTATCAAAATTTGCATCTTAACTATTTCTAATTTCAGCTTATCACTTATTCCTAATTTTAAAACCTATTTATATTTTTACTTTTAATTTTATTTCTAAGTTACATTTTTAATTCTACTTTAATTTCATTTTTTTTTCCTTCTTTCATTTCGTTATATTATTGAAAATGGATTGTATCAATTTGAAAAAAAAAAAAAAAAATCTC